AGAGGAGAAACACCTGACTCTCCTCTGCCCCCTGCTGGGCATAACTGGGAGTGGTTTGGCCAGTGGCCGTCATACCCTTCCCCTCACATCCCTTACATCCTCCTCTTACCCCTGTGCCCAGTGGACTGGGACAACTTGCCTCAGTGTCCTCCCTGGTTATTTAACAGCCACTGTCCTCCAGGCTGCACAGACAGGAGTGCAACTCAACTGTCAGCCTCAGAGTCCCTTCTGTGCTCCCACCGCTTCTGACATTGCTACCACCTCTGTGAAGAGAGGAAGGATCTTAACACGGCTAAGTTCAAGAAGATAGGGATCTGGGACTACTAACTTCCCTAACCTCTCCAGGCCCGGGTAAGCTCTACTGCACACAGCTAGTCCTCCAGAAAATGTCCCGGTTTCGGCCCCACCATTTTTCTCAGAAAGATGACGGCTGTCAATCCAACAGCTCACGTCTTCCTGCCACTTCATGAATTGCAGACGAGACAGCAATAGCTGTAGAGGTCCTGGAGCTCTGCACAGACGTAGACCAATCACAAGCCTGAATGTGAACCAATCACAGGTCTATTATTTGGACCATTCACATTATATGCAGCAGCGACTATATATAAGCAGCACTCCCCTCACCGTTCTCAGGTTGGTCTTGGAAGGCTCCCTCCAGGGTACTGAATCCCCTGTTCCAGTGCCAGCTCCACTCTTCCCAGCCCTATGTGTAAGAGCTCGGTCAGGATTCAGCTTCCCCAGCTGTTAAGTGAGTGCAAAAGAGGGATCAGTCTCAGTGGGTTGCTGTGGAAAGATACTGCACACTGTGCACCCTGAGGGCCGTGGGGCAAAGGCTCCATCAGAGCCGTGGCTTGTGCAATAGCTGTTGTCGACACACAGGCAGTCACTTGGGCATATCCTGGCCTGGGTTCTTCATGTGTTGAAAGCCTAGCTGGAGCTCAGGGTAACCCTCAACACACCTGTCCCTGAAGTCCCTCTGGGAATGTACAGACAGGGGTCAGGCCAGGGCCCAGTCTCCTCTATGAGAGCTGAGAGTCTCCTGGGGGTTCAGCCCATCTGAGCCCAGCTTCTGGTCTCCTAGGCAGGGTTCTGGGCTCCAACCTGCCTTATGCTGATCTGCTCCGTGTGACCTTGGGGGACCTGTGTCAAATGCTACTTGGGAAGGGTATGCGAGCACTTCTTAGCATGGTCAGGGATAGCAGAAGGGCTGAGTCATCTGGGGCTGGACATCATCTCTTGCCATGAACGTGTGCTGGCCTCGGGCAGGTGCCTGCTCTGCCCAGCTGCGGATTGTTCATCTGCCAACTGGGGTGAGACCATCTGTTCAGAACATTGTTAAGAACTTTGCAGAAGAGGAGTGCAAGGCAAGGCTACAGCTGTGAGCTCATTTACAGCCACGAGGAGCATTTATTAAGTACCAGGCTCGGCGCTTTTCTGTCATTGTCTTTTTGCATCCTGATAGCCTCTTGGATAAGCAATTCCGTGACCCAAGTCACAGATGAGGCAACTCCAGTGACCTTGAACCAGCATTTCTTTTGTTTAATTTCTGCAAAGTGAGGTGTGACATACATGCTTGTTTCACCTTCCTGAAGGTCACGGTGAAGAAACAGGCCCAATGCCAGAGGACCCTGGGTAAGAGGAGTCCTGGGACCTGTGCTCTCTGCAGGTCACCATGGAGGAAGAGGCTGGGAGGACTCATCTATTCTATAGCTATGGATATAGCTCTGCAGCAGCCAGGCCTGCCCTACAGACTTCCCAAAGGTTTGGCCCAGTGACCCTTAGGTGAGGACAGGGGAGACGTGAGGGGTGTGCCAGCCAGTGGAAGAAACTAGAAAGACGACGAGGAAAAGGTGTGGTCATCCTGGGCTTTGAAAGTAAACCCTCCCTCCCAGGGTCAGATTGGGTCTGAGCCGCTACTATAGAGCCTGGGTCTCCGCTCTCTTCCCACTCTCAAGGGCTCCACTGAGCTCCTGTGGTTGCCACAATGAGGCAGACACAATAAGAGCTGCTGCCCAGAACAGGGCCAGGCACCTAGGGGGCAAGAGGGAGTTGGGCCAGATGCCACCGAGCATCAGTGCGTGTGCGTGTGTGTTTAGAGACAGAGAGCCAGGCAGAGACAGAGGTAGAAAGACAGAGAGAAGCTATGCAAACACATAGGGTCAATGAGATAGGGAGTTGGGTGGCAGGCAGCTTCCACACACAGGACAGAGTCTGAGTTGTGGACAGTTCATCAGCCCTACTGAGTCAGGGCTCAGGGTGTCAGGTGGTTCAGTACAGAGGAAGGAGGGAGACGTTAGAACCCAGAGAAGGGAGAGAGAGAGGCTGGCTGGGGAGAGAAGCCCAGGCGGAAGGACAGAGGATGCAGCCACGATGCCTCCCAACCTCAGTGTGAAGTGGGGATGACAGCACTTTCATAGTGTGGTCTCGAGGGTCACTGCCCTGACTCTCTGCCTTAGCCCAGCTGCCCTTCCGTGGAGAGGAGGATTGTGGGGACCTGGGGCACTGGCAGAGAGATTCAGGCATCGCTCCAGCTATCCCCACCTTCTGTGTGACATCCCCAAGCCCTGAACTCTGTGTCTGCCCGGGAAGGGGAAGCAGCCGTCTCCTTGGCCTCCAGCAGCCCCTCTGCCCAGCATCAGCCTGTCAGGTTACATACCATAGGGGCCACCTGCGGTCTGACTCCTCCCTCCAGTCCCTGTGCATGCAGGGGCTGCATGCAGCTCTACAGAATTAGATTGTTTCACCTTCCAACTGCCCATGTTTTACTGGAGTTGCAGACCCCTCCTCTCTGGGTAAGGAAAGGCAAGTGTTCCACCCTGGTGCTCTAGACCCATGCTCTGGAGGTGGGCCTGCCTGGCATCTTTCAGAGTAATGGAGTTTTCAGATCCAAGAGACAGAGATCAAAGCACTCTAAACACTCCCCTTATGACCTCTTCACTCTTTGATGTGATGGTTTAATTCCACTGGGAGAGCAAGCTTACAAAGATGGCACTGATTTGATTTGCCCGAGTAAATAAAGATAAGACAGACAAGGCAGTAATGGGAGGTCGTGAAGCTTTAGGAGCGTGTAATTCACATCATCTAAAACCCAGGCCTCCTTCATCCTGACTGCCTTCCTGCAGATGGAGCCAACCCTGCCAAACAATGGCAGTTCACTGTCTATTTCTGTTGCTGGGGTATGGATGTCTTCTCAGACTGGGCCGAGGGCTGCTCTTCTGCTTCTGAGAGCTGCCTGAGAACCAAATGATAAATACTGAGGCATTTTGTGTTCCACCACCGGCAGCTTGTCATGGCTATGGTGCAAACATTTACATCACTGACAGTGACAAATGAAGGGCTTTTCTGAGGGGGAGTGGGCCCACCACTGTATGAGGGTCTCTGCAGAAGAACAAAGAAGATAAAGGGAGGTGGTAAAGCACGTGCACATCTTGAGTGCCGCTGACTCCACTACTGGGCAAGGAGACTGATAGGGTCTGTGCCTCAGCGGACACTGGGACTGGGTCTTAAGTTTCCCCCAAGCCCCATGCCTGTAAGGCTATCGGGAGGTAGTGGAGACTTCTGGAGCTGCGGTCTAGCAAGCCATCTTCAAATCACCAGGTCATACCCTTGAAGGGACAGTGAGGCCCCGGCCTCTTCCTTGTCCTTGTGTTCTGCCTCCTGACTATGAGGCGAACAGCTTTGCTCTGCCACACGCTCCTTACCCCAGGCTCTAAAACCTCAGGGCCAACCAGTTGTGAGCCAATCTGTGAGCCCAAATAAACCTTTTTGCTTTATAAGCTAATTACCTCTGGAACTTGTCATAGCAACAGAAAGCTGACTACCACGGAGAGCACCCTAACAACAGCTCCCTGGAATGGGAATGGGCCTGCCCGGTGGAGCTTATTGAACATGAGTTTGACAAGGAGCCCAGTGCCAGGCTGGAGCCAGAGGACATGGCTTCCAGGGCTGCCTGTATGGGGGGAGTTGACCCCGGTGTAGGCAAGGCCCATCTCTCTATGGGTGTGTAAAGATCTTTCCTCAGCATACACGGGGTGTGTGTGGTCATCGGAGCACGCTGGTTGTTTCAGGGAAGATTCGCTAGTGAGCATCTGGTTACACACCAACTCTCAAGATACAGGATTCAGAAAACTGGAAGGTACCAAAACCTTTTGTTAGTTACCTATGCTGCCTTAATAAGCCAGCCCCATGAACTCAGTGATTGAAACAATGTAAATGTATTATCTTAAGTCTCTGGAGATGGAAAATTTGAAGGAGTCAGTAGGACTCAACCCTTTTGAAAGTTCTGTTGAATTTCCCTGCTTTTGTTTCTCCATATTCACAAGGGTGTCTGCACTCCTTGGCTGCTCGTGACCCCAAGTTACTGAATCACTGATCCTGTCCTTAATTCTCTTTCTCTGATGCTCTCACCTCTTCCTTTCTCTCATAAAGTGCCTTGTGACTACTCTGGGCTTTGTGGAAAATTCAGGACACTCTCCCATCTCCAGATCCTTAGTGTCCACATCTGCAGGGACCTTTGGATGTGGTAAGAGAGGTGCCTGGAATTAGAACCCTATGTCTTTGGGGAGCCATTACAGACTGCCTTCTGACCCCCCAGATTCATATCCATCCCATGTGTGAGGTGCATGCCTTCTATTACTTTCTGAAGCTCCAGCCCCTCTCCTGGATCCCAAGACAGTTCTGATTATACCCAACCCACATTCCAGCACCCCAAAACCAGCACACCAAACCACACAGAAAGACCCAGCAGTCCTTCATCATCCTTTGAGGGTCCAGAAGAAAGGAAATTTAATGTAGTGCAATCTGCCTTCTGACCCCCCAGATTCATATCCATCCCATGTGTGAGGTGCATGCCTTCCATTACTTTCTGAAGCTCCAGCCCCTCTCCTGGATCCCAAGACAGTTCTGATTATACCCAACCCACATTCCAGCACCCCAAAACCAGCACACCAAACCACACAGAAAGACCCAGCAGTCCTTCATCATCCTTTGAGGGTCCAGAAGAAAGGAAATTTAATGTAGTGCAGCCCTGGGGGGCCCAGTCTTGAGGAGATCTCAGATGCACTTTCCCTTCCTCCAGGGCCCCAGATTGGGGGCTGTTAACTCCATCTGAGCAGCAGCCCCCATGCCTTCAGGCTTGGCTTGTATACATCAGCTGCTCTTCCTCATCTGCCCACTGGGGTAACAGCAGCTCCTCCTCTAAGGCGAGTGGGACTCTCAGGATCTCCTTGGACACAGGTCCAGCACAGGAAGTATCCTCTGTCCCACGCAGGGGCATTATCCACTCTGGGGGAAGGAAGCAGCAGCAGCATTCCTACAACTGTCATTCTTCCTGGGTGTCCCTTCCAGGATCCCCCAGGGGGGCCTCAGGTGTCCCCCACCACTGCCCCTTGCTGTCTGGTGTCTCCCTGTCTGCCCTGACAGTGTGAGTGTGGTCAGAGCCCGGACCCTTTCCCCACCTGCAGAAGGAGGGCATCCAGTGGGTCAGGCCTCCATGAGTGACCCTGGCTGCTCCCCTCCCACCCCCCTTGGCTGTCACCCATGAGACCATTTGGGACAATTGTGGCTAATAGGGCACTTTAAGATCCACTAGTTAAGAGGCAGAATGTTCAGGGTATGAGCCGTTCCTTTTCTCCTCCCCTTTACTTTCTTTGAAGTGATGCATCTTTTGCTCATTCTTCTGTTGCACGGAACATTTCAAAAGACTGACAATTCTGGGAAGCTCATGGACTCCTGGGAAGTTGCGCCTTCTGAAAGTGTGCTCATTCGTGGCATGCAGTGTGGCTCTGAGTGTGAATCCGGGAGCCTCGCGGGGCCGCAGCCGCGTAGCTGGAACTGCAGGGCTGTCTGCAAGCATCTGCTCCTCACTATGGCATTAGTTTCAAACTGTGACACCTGTGTGGGTCTATCAGCCTGCCTTAGTCCTGTGAGGCAGCCTGCCGGGGCCCTGTACCTTCCCACCTAGAGCCCAGACCCTTTTTCGTGCCTATTCCATCTTGGCCTCCACACCCTGGCTCTGGTCCCGCTCTGACCTTTAACGCTGGCCTCACAGCTTTTCCTCGCTTCTCTTTCTGAGGTTAGTTTCTGTATTATGGTGTCCTTCAAAACGCTGGAGTCCCTGCTGTGTGGCACCTGCTCAAGTTGTGATGGATCCACGATGAGGGTGGGGACCTCCCTCCTGTGCTCCTCTCCTCCACTGACTGCCAGCCCCGGGAGAGCAGCTACCAGGTTCCGTTTACCCACATCTCCGGCATCGGAGTCAGTGCACAAGAACTACGGAACTGATTGATGAATGGGAGGAGGGAAGAAGAGAGGAGAGAAGGAAGGGGCCAAGGAAGGGAAGGAAGAAGCGACAGAGTCTGACACACCCAGAACAGGCACGGAGTGCAGTGTCCAGGAGAAGGGAGGCCTGCTCAGGGGTGGAAGCCTCTTGCACGTCATCCACTCCCGCTCTGCCCAAGCTGTGACAGTGACGGCGTTCCCACCCCCAGAGACCTTGAAGAGCGGCAAACTCCACTGAGCTTCAGAGCTGGGAGCCGGCTCCCGAGCTAAAAGCCCTAGGGAAGCAGGGTCCTGTACCGCTCCTGTGCTGAGGGGATCATCAGCACGGCAGGGGCTCTTCTCACAGGCTGGGTTTCTGCCGTGGCAAGCGGAAGTGCTTGGTGGTCAGTAAAGCTGTCAGGGGACTGAGAATCACTCATAGGAGGCTGTCCCTTACTCCCTAAGGTATACGTACTATCAAGTCCTAAATTCTAGAATTCATACAATCACAGTATCTCGGGGCTGGAGGAACGTTTACGTAGACATCGCCTTATGTATGACACATCCCCACTGTGACGGAGACGAAGCTTATTGTCACAGCTATCTCCTCCCCTCTGCCCTCAAGAAAACATTGGTCTTGCGCCACTCAGCTTCCCCTTCTCCTGCCTCCTAAAGACCATACTGGTTTTGGGAGATGGTTCCAGAGCTGTGGGCATGCAGAACCAAAGGCAGCTGGTAGTGAAAGCAGAACACCAGGGAATCCACCAGAATACATTCATCTCTGCCAAAAAGAAGGTGAGAAGTAAAGCCAAGCCAGTGCGTCGCAGGACGCATTTGGAGGTGTCTCTCATGGAAGTACTGCTGTTCCTCTAATAGGGAGGACTGGGTCTTCAGGCAGTGTGATAGTGTTCTTAGTGAAATCCCCTTTTGCATGTTCTCTGAGATTAAAGTCAAATTTGACATTTCTTTTCAGATTTTTCTGGTGTTAAGATTGTGTTTTCAAGTGCAGCAGGGCCTGGAATTCAACCCCGGGGCCCAAGATGCAGTGGGCTATCCTGTTCTGTGCTGCTCAAACTAGACACAAACACTGTCTCGAGGCTAAAAATTTGACATTTCTTTTCAGATTTTTCTGGTGTTAAGATTTGTTTTCAAGTGCAGCAGGGCCTGGAATTCAACCCTGGGGCGCAAGATGCAGTGGGCTATCCTGTTCTGTGCTGCTCAAACTAGACACAAACACTGTCTCGAGGCTGGGTTGGGTCACGTTCACCTCTGTATCTGGCACAGAGGGAGAATAGATCAACAAGTGTTGGTCCATGGAGAAAGTTGACAGAATAATGCTATCGTCAGGATGGAAAACGTTCCCCCCACAGGCTCATTCAGAGGTGAGGGTTTTGGAGGCAACTTCATTATGGTTCAGTCCATAGCTGAACGGGTGCCTTCCCGGCTTCCATGGTGTGAGCAGTCCTTCCTTCACTCACCCTCCCACCCTGATACTTCTGCCGCAAAGCCTTCTTACGATAGACCGAAACCACTGAAACCCTGAGCCAAAATAAAGCCTTCCTCCCCTGAGTTGTGTTTGTCAGTATTTTGTGCCAGCAATGGTAAGTCGTCCCATGCAAATAATGATATATTTTAGGAGCTCATTTTGTAGAAAGAGTGTGGGCACCAAAGTTGTGAATAAAATGATGATAAACAAAATAACAATATTGACATATTTTGAGTGCCTTCCATGTGTCAAACAACAATGTAGGTAGTTATGGAAACAGATCCAGAGAAGGGAAGACAATGACGCGGGGTCACATAGCCAGGCAGTGGGAGGCTGGGTGCAAAGTCTGTCTGCTGGTTTAACCTTCATGGCCTTTCCAGTGAGGCACAGAGCAGAAAGGAGGCATGTCATACAGCTTTGGGGGAATTTGGCAGAGGCCACAAAGAAGGTTGCATCTAAGCTGACTTTTGAGTGTACCTAGGACTTGGGGAGCTGGCAGGGCAGGGGTACGAAGGGAGAGAAAGGCATCCCAAGTGGAGGGCAAGCACGAGCAAGCTGCAAGTGGGAGCATCATGCTTCTCTGGGGGAAGGAGGGAAAGGCATCCCTAGGAGAAATGGGGAGTGTGACCATAAGCACAGGGTAGGCTTGACTATGAAGCAAGAAGTCCACTTCCCCATCAAAAGGAGTCAGACTTGGGGGATTCATTTGGATGTTGAGACTCACACCCTCTGAGCTGTGTTCTTCACTTCTGCTATCAAAAGCCAACCCCTGTCCTTGTGTGCAGGCCCCAGGGCTTTGCTGAGCTCTAGCATGGCCAAAGTGAGCCCAACTGGCACCAAACACGGATCCCCCACAGCACAGCAGGAATGGCCTTGGGAGTTGTGATGACTGGGTCTGGTTGGGAGTGCTCTGGGGGCCTGGGGAATGCAGAGGCCCAGAGTGATATGTGGCCATGGTGTGGTGGAGACGGGAGTCCCTGTGCAATGGGCTGGGGGCAAGGCTGACAGGGTCCACACGGAAGGCTTCTATAGTTCTAGGGGACTCTATCGAAGTTCTATTCCCATCTGACAGGTGAGCAAACTGAGGTTCAGGCAACACATTGTTTAAATCCACACAGCCAATGAGAAGCAGCACTAGGGTTAGACTGGGTACATCTAACAAGAGAAAGCTACCCCCTTTATGGGTCCTTCTCCTTCCCAAGGCATGTGGGCTCTTAAGGCCCTCCTGCTTGACAGAAGAGGAGACTGAGTCCCACAGAAGGGAGGTGACTTGACCAGGGTCACATCAAGTTGGTGGGGAGTCAGGACAGGGATCTCAGAGGTTGGAGATATATATATATATATAAAATCTGTA